GTTCCTTGGACACAAGATGGATAAAAAGAGAGAAATATCTAGCTGCAAAGGGGAGAGAGACAGGAAGACGAATGGACTGGCATGAGAGACGAAATTGAAGACATCGTTAGACACGACTTCAAGGGAGACAAACTAACACCAGAGAGGAAGTTAAAGATGGATGGACAGAAGAGACAGAGCATTATGGAGAATAGAGAGGTGAAACGAATGGACAGAAAATATGTGGCGATTGGATTGACAGCAGGGGAGAGAGGGGTTGGTGAGAGGTGAGACAGTGGTGTGGTTTCCACAGTGAGGCGATGAGCTGCTGGAGTGATAACAAGCTGCAGATGGAAGCTGTTAGCTCACCTCTGTTTGTGTGTGTCTGCTGTGGATGTGTTTTTTTTGTGCGTTGTCATTTAAAGAGTTGTGTCTACTTCTGAGTGATTTATGAGATACAGAGGTAGAAAGAAAGAAGAGAAAGAGACATCAAACAGTGTTCTGAGTGTGTTTATGTTTGTGTGTGCATAGCATGGGGGGGGGGGGGGAATAAATGACTCCAGGTACACAGGAAACCAGATATTTGGCAGTCTTGTCAACAACCAGTGAAAACAGACGCGGAGACACACATGTCCCCAAATAAATAGTGAAAAGAGTTGTTTGTGCGTTTAGCCGGTCATTACTCAGAGAAATCAAATGTCATTTTAAATGCTATTTGGGCCCACCCATGCTCCTTTTGCTCTGAGCATCAAAGTTCCTATTTTAAAAGCTTAACCATCAAGTCAAAATGTCAATTTATTGAGTACTCTATGATTTACACAACTGACGACATTGCCATGAGCTTCAACGGTCGAGAATATTGCCCCAGGTTCAAATACCATTAACATGTTTTATTTGATTTCTTTCTTTTTTCCTTTGCATTCACTAAATTGTGACAAAAGCTATATTCGCATGAGAAGCAGGATTAGAAAAAAGGAGTTTGACTTCCAGTAAAGGTGCCTGGCCAGGAGGGATGCCGGGGTCGATCCACAATCTGAGGGACGGGATGTTTCGATTAGCTTACTAGAAAATATCAAACCAGACTGTTATACACAAAGTTTCCGGCATATTTTTAGGACTGGAATTGTGGATTGGCTTTACAGGTTTTTCTGTGCGAGGAGTTAAAAAACAGGACCAGTGTATCAATACTGGCCTGAATTGAACCTGGGACAGTGCTGCTGAATGCGTCTTAACTACTATACGTTTGTGTTTATGTTTTATTTGTGCTGAGTGTTAACGCGCTTTCTATCTAAATAACTAATTGGCTATCGTCAAACATTCCTAAAACATTCATTGTCTAATTTCACATTTGGTATGAAATGTGTATGATGCAATGGCACAGATCTAATGTAAAACATACTGAAGCTTATCTTCTCCTTCTGCTTCGTACGTTTCTGCTTACCTTGTCAGTTCCAATAAATCCATCACACATCAATGCTCTCTTACTGTCTCGTGGCTTTCTGTGCCTGCCTTTCTCTGTTTCTACTCATTATTTTCTGACTTTTACCAGCTGCTAAAGCCGAAACACCTCCTCCCCTTCCATTTCTGTCTTTATCTTGTGTTTTGCTAACTTCCTTCAACTCCCTCTTGCCCTACACACTATCCCTGATGTGTTCCCACTCCTATGTCTCCTCGTTATTCTCTTGCAAGCAGCCTTTATTTCTTACAAAATGATTCCCCTCTTCATTGTCTTCAGAGGATTTTGTGTAGCAACAATTTACAAGCTACAACGTGGGTCGGCCTCAGCAGAGGACAACGTTTCACCAGAGTAGGTCAGGTTTTGATTTGGCTGCTGTTAAGACCCTATTAGGGAGTATACATACAGAGAAAACATCATTATGTGTTAATCTGTTGAAAGTGCTCTCCCCAAAGTTTAGGTAATAAGGGTGATCTATAGAGTGAGGCTGTTTGAATATGTGTATATGTGTGTGTGTGTGTGTGTGTGTGTGTGTGTGTGTGTGTGGTGTGTGTGGTGTGTGTGTGTGTGTGTGTGTGTGTGTGTGTGTGTGTGTGTGTGTGTGTGTGTGTGTGTGTGGAAGCTTATGAGTTGGAGAAACGGAGATGTCTAATAAAAACAGATCATCAGTGTGTCTGCGAGGCCCCAGTGATGGACAAGGTGTCCCTGGTACAGGAGGCCCCCGTGCTTCACTCAGTCAATACCCTCGCTGAGTGCTGAGTGACTGAGCCTACTTTCTCACTGCGTGTGTGTGAGGTAGTGTGTGTTGGGCCGAGGGAAAAGGAGAGAGAGGAAAAACTGAGACGAGTGATGAGAGGTAGATGGAAAACCGATTCAGCTGAAAGACTGCTCCACTGAGAGTTTGGCATACCGAAGACGTCTTCTCACAAACGTATTTCACTCCTCATCTTGTTACCAACGCAGAGAGAGAGGGAGAGAGGTGATGCAGAAGAAGTGTCATGAAAGGAAGGTATGAGAGGCACATATAACCAACATGTTCGCACTCCCAATATGTCAAACATGGCAGCTTGCCAGGTCTTTTTGACAACTCAAAGCACTAGGTACCCCCTTCAGCTTTATTTTTTTAATGTGAAGGGTACTCCGAGAAACTTCCACAAGTGGTTATGAGATACTGTACAGGACGTTACTTGTATTATAATGGGTTATGATCCGGTTTCAGAATACTGTAGATCATGTTTGATTTACAATAAATACACTGAACAAAAATATAAACGCAACACTTTTGTTTTTGCTTCCATTTTTCATGAGATGAACTCAAAGATCTAAAACATTTTCTATATACACAAAATAACCATTTCTCTCAAATATTGTTCACAAATCTGAAAAAATCTGTGATAGTGAGCACTTCTCCTTTGCCGAGATAATCCATCCCACCTCACAGGTGTGGCATATCAAGATGCTGATTAGACAGCATGATTATTGCACAGGTGTGCCTTAGGCTGGCCACAATAAAAGGCCACTCTGAAACGTGCATTTTTTGCTTTATTAGGGGGGTGTGGGGGGGTCCGAAAACCAGTCAGTAGCTGGTGTGAGGGGTAGGGGTAGGGTTAGGGTTAGGGTAATGTTGTGAATCGAGTGGGCCCATGGTGGTGGTGGGGTTATGGTATGGGCAGGCGTATGTTATGGACGACGAACACAGGCCACTCGATTCACAACATTACCCTAACCCTAACCCTACCCCTCACACCAGATACTGACTGGTTTTCGGACCCCCCCCAGACCCCCCCAATAAAGAAAAAATGCACGTTTCAGAGTGGCCTTTTATTGTGGCCAGCCTAAGGCACACCTGTGCAATAATCATGCTGTCTAATCAGCATCTTGATATGCCACACCTGTGAGGTGGGATGGATTATCTCGGCAAAGGAGAAGTGCTCACTATCACAGATTTTTTTCAGATTTGTGAACAATATTTGAGAGAAATGGTTATTTTGTGTATATAGAAAAGGTTTTAGATCTTTGAGTTCATCTCATGAAAAATGGGAGCAAAAACAAAAGTGTTGCGTTTATATTTTTGTTCAGTGTATGTTTGTTATAAAACTGACTTACGTCACTTAGGTTAAGGGAAATATTGTGGTTAAGGTTTAAGTAACCGTGTTAAGTAGCTGTGGTTAGGTACGAGAAAAAAGAAAGTAAGGTACATAAGTAAACTTTTGTACATAAGTTAAACTAAGCCATGGTTGAGTTTAGGTTTGACACAGGACAGGAAAGTGGTCTCACTGGTGAACTTGTATGTTAGATCTGTCCATCCACTCTGACTTTCTCTGGACTTTGTAGCTCTTTATGCTTTGTCACCCAACTTCCCCCTTCACTTGGGTCATAATTACTATAGCGACTAGAGCCAATTACATTTAAAACTGACCCCAGAGCTGTACTTGGAGCGTCCTTGTTTGACGTGTACTGTAGGGTCACTGATTAAAAAGCTGTCTTTGAAGAGTTGGGAGGAGCATGCTCTGATGTAACAGAAGTTTGTTTGAGATAGTGGAAGATTTTGGAAGGAGGCCTTGAAGCAGCAATCTTGTGTGTGTGTGTGTGTGTGTGTGTGTGTGTGTGTGTGTGTGTGTGTGTGTGTGTGTGTGTGTGTGTGTGTGTGTGTGTGTGTGTGTGTGTGTGTGTGTGTACCACCCGTGTCTGGCTGAACTTGTGTTCAACCCGGTCTCTACCACTCCTGCAGAGTTGTTGCATCAACCTTTTGACTTTGAAGCTTCTGGCAGATCAGAGAGGAGAGCCAGGTGCAGGCCTCTGTGTGCAGATGGACTCCTGCTCTCCTACTGATACATGTTATCTAATATGGGAGTGTGTATCGTGTTTGTTCATAAATTCATACACTTCAGGCACCAGTAGATGCTTTCAGATTCCTTAGCATCTTAACATCCAAAAACAATACTTGATGTATTTGATGTTTTTGATTTGTATGCACTATTTTAATTCTATGAAAATATGTTGAATCATACAGTAATGTTGTACATTTCCTGTTTGGGTGGTGCTGTAGATCTTTTCTGGTAACATCCTCTAATGTGCAGGAATTAAGTGTTGACAGCAGCAACAAGAGAACGTTTGGAGACAAATCCTATTTGGATAGTGGAACAAAAGGCGATGTTACAAGCAGATTCCTCATGGGATTTTTGCTTTACTGTAGAGAAAATTACACATCACTTCCAATAAAGTAAAAGCAAACTGTCTGCTGTCAGATTAAAGTAAAGGCAGCCTGGTCAAATGATTAAACCAAGGTCCAACAACCAATAGTCACGAAGGCTTCAATGTCAAAATATGTTTTAAACCCATCAGAGATGAAGCCTTTCAGGGAGCAGAAAAAACGATGTGTCATCGCTATATCAACTTTCAACTCATCACTGCTCTCTCTGTTTGATCCCCCCCTGCTTGGATTTTTGTGCTGTTGCTAAAAAGAAAAAATGTTGGTTTTGTAAAAAGAACATTGACAAAAAGTGATGAAAGAGGAAATGTGTTTATATGTGTGTGCTCATCATGTTCCCCTTTCTCTCTGCAGACCTGCTGTCCACCAACAGGTCATCTATCTTCAGCGGTCACCACGGCCAGCTCTCTCTTACCTCCGTCTTCCTCGATGAGTACCGGGACCGCCTCTTCCTCGGAGGGAAAGATATCCTGTACTCTCTCCTGCTGGGACCCACCAGCAGCGAGTCCAAAGAGGTGAGCTTTGGGAAAATAGTCAATCCATCAGTTATTTTTGATTAATTCTGCTCTGGTGATTGATGTTTTGTAAAAGGTTAGTTACCGCACAGTGGACATTCATCATTCCGCTTTGATTTAAACTGCAGTGACTGTTCAAGTGGTTTCAATCTGTAGAAGATAACATATGACTTGAAGAGATAGGCGTACCATTTGGTGTTTTTCCAGAATTCCCTCTTTGCAGAACATCTGTGAAAGCACTCGGTACCTCATAAATCAGCCATAAATGTTGTGGCTCAAACATGAACAGCCATTTTATTTTTTATTGCTGCTGTTGCATCATAACTCAGTTCTGATAATATTAAACAAAAAGACAGTCAGTCTTCAGGGAAAAAATATATAAAGGAAGAGATCACACACCTGTTTCCTTGGTACATTTTTTGATTTCCCATATCAATTGACTACATGTGTACACTATACATTGAAATGTGTGGATAAATGCATTTTTCATTGAATTTGAACCTCTAGATATTGTTAATTGAACAGGGATGTTCTATAAACAATCCCATGTTTTGATCTGTAAATATATTTTCTCACTGAAGCTTGTCCAACACAGAGATTATACTGCAGGAGAAACAGTTTCTTTGGCTCGCCAGAGAGACACGAGAGATGAATTAGGATAAGAAAATATGTGCTTTATTGATCCCAATTTGGGAAATTTTTTATATTAAAAATATCAGATCTATTTGCAGACCTGCACATTTTCACTGTAATCAAACATTGAGACTCTGAATTACAAAGAGAGAGAAGAATGTTATTGTGCTATTCATTATAGCAGATGTTGGATATTTGGTTTTGAAACTTAACTGTTTAAATAAGGTTTATTATGCTTTGGTAGTGGATACAAGTATGTTAACAATTATCGGAAAATCTAATCGAATTTATCTAATATAAAGTTTGAATTCATATTTAGTCAAATGTATTCAGTGGCACAGATTATACCGATATAAGTTTTACTGTGATTTGAGTTGTATCTTATGAGTTTCAGACATTTATTAGAAGGCATTAGAATTAGAGAAATGAGCAAATTCTCCATGAAATTATATTTCTGAGACCATATGTTCTATATATTATATATATCATTCATTTATATTTTATTTTCACTAGGGCGCTTGATGCACTCTGTGTTCCATTGAAGTTTCTAGTAAGCAGAACACAAATAACTCTCTCCTAGAGAAATCCTTGGTGTGCTGCAGCACTTTAGCTAAGAGCAGCAGTGTGTATGTGCATTAGAGAGTGTGTGTGTGTGTGCTTATACATGGGTCAAAGACACTGTGATGACACAAAGTGAACAGGGAATTTATATAAACAGAGGGCCAGATGTAGCCCACCTTGTTCTCTTTTTAATGCTCACTGCATTCTGTCTTGGCTGAGGTTCACACATGAGGCTTTCTGATTTTCCAGTTTACGGTGAGCTGTTAGAGCCTTTAATGCCCGGGCTTCTATCAGAGCCAGTCATTGTGAAATCTATCCACGATGCCAGTTCAATGAAACAAAGGTTTACAGGATGACACACATCTGCCAAACGTTCCATAAACCACCGCTCAACGTGAAAAGAGAAAGGACAAAATGAATATAAACTGTTTGCCTGTACCAAAAACTGTTTTCACTCCGAGAACATATGTTGGTATTTGTTCGATGTTGAATTGAAAACTAAGGTCAATGTTGAAAACTGGAAGCCAGATGAAGAAGAGCCAAACGTCAAAACGTAGCAAAATGACAAGCAGCAATAGGAAACAGTTAACCTTACATTCTCCTTTATGCAAGTTCAAAATATGCCAACATCACAAACCACCATAAAACCATACAGAAAACATGAACCAACATGTAAGGGATAATGTGCAGCGAGGCGGTCATCATGGGGAAAAGAACACCCGACAGGCTGTTCAGGAGCCCGACGCGAAGCGGAGGGACCTTGATCTGCATGCAGTTTGCTTTTCGGCCAAACTGTATAGTTCAATCGACCAAACTTCTTTCTGCAGATGTGAGCGTCCTCAACAACGATCAATAAATCCATGACAGCGGTCTGTGTGTTCTGGATTAACAACGTGTCACGTGTTCTGAATTGACAAATCAGAATCGAGTATTCAACTAAGCCATGTAATAAATAGTAATAATAATAATAATGAGCTTTAAAAGTGCTAGCAGATATTTAGGAAAGGGTAATTGTTAGCCTTGCTTCTACTCTTTACAGTTCAGTATGTTAAGCTAGGCTAACCACGTGTTAGCTTCAGTACCATACTTAGCGCACCAATGAGATTGTGAATTGATCGTATCATCTCAGTTTTGGAAAGAAAGTAAATAACTAAACAATATGTATATTTAACTATTCCTTTATATTTAATTAAAGATGTATGTTTGGCTTGAGTGCAACTAATGATGTCATCTGATTGACATTTATCCATTGAGATCAGAAAACAAATGTTGTATGTACTGCATATATTTCCACAATTCTTACTTTGCAGCTGATGAAAATGCTAACCTTTTAGAAACAGGTTTAAAATTGTCCAAACCAGAACAAAGCTTTTAACTGCTGTGAAATCAGACAAGCTTGTAGTTTTCTAGCTCAGACTTTGACTACCTGAGTTTACAATATATCTTCGGCATAAAAAGCCTATTCTCCCCTTTTCACTATAACTCTGACCAACAGTGTATTAAATCTCAAATGGGAATAAGGCTTGGCTTGCTTTGGTTAGACCATTGCACCAAACGTGATTCTGCTCAAACTGGAACCAGTTCTTATTTAATTAAATCTGGGAAGTGGAACACTTTGCCTAATGAGAATTACCCAGGAAAAGACTAATAATTAGTGATTCAGTTTATGCAAATGTCTCATATAATGGAGTAAATATTCCACTTCACCGTCCCCTAGAACATAAACAGCTATGATTGGAATACATTTGTCATCTTTAATTATTGTATATGAAATGTTGGTTTACATTTCAAATATGTTCCCTCATGTTCATCCAGCTGGTTTACTTTGCTCAGTGTTTACTTACATGTGGTATATCTTGTTTAAGTGTTCTTTGGTGATGTTGATGGCTTCTGGCCCAGCTTGCTTAGCATAGGTTAATGCTAGAAAAATCATTTTGGCCTCGAAATAATACAATTTGAAAAGCGATGTGTTGATCAAAACTTAGCTCGTGTTGAAATTCAAACCTTCTCCCCAGGGACTATTTTTGGATTTAAGAGTTCATGCAATGTTTCAGTCCAAACTCATTACATCCCATGATTCATACGGTCTATTTCTGCCAAATGTTGCGTTGGCTCAGCAACAAAGAAGGCATATGGTTTTGTGCAAAAATTCCAACAGATTCAAGAAAAATTGAAAATAATCTGCTTACGTCAGTTTATATATGCATGATGTTGCTACGTACAGTAGCAGAGGTCCCAGAGTTACATGTCTTGTAACATTCATGGCCACAGGGCATATATTTACTTGAAATATGTTCCTTACCTTTGCAGTAAAAAACAAGTTTGCCAGGGGTTCAGCTGGCATAATCTGAACTGAGTATAATAGAGGGTTTTGATCTATTGCAGGTTGTTTAGCAGCAGGCACATAAACAAATACAATATTTGATGATTTATGTAGTTCTTTGATATTGGCTGACTTTTAAAGTAGTGTGTCTTGAACTAATGAGTTTCACAGGCAATTCAAAGTTAGGAACATTTTACGTTTGATTGTTCCCGACCGTTCTGCTTGGCAGTCTTGTTTCCTGGATGGATTTTTCTGCAGGTAAACACTTTAATTATGTGTGACTGCTGAATAAAGATTAAAGAACACTTTACATTGATGAAGTGTGTGACGAAGGTAACTTCGTCACTATGGACTGACGGCTTCGGGCCGGGTAATCTTGCACATGTGGGTTTGCACAGGACAATAGTCCCTCAGCACGTTAGTGAACAGTTTGCACTTTATTAGCGGGAGTTGCACAGTACAGTTAAACATTGCCTATTTGCACATTTTATACTATTTATTGATGTAGTGTGTATTAAATGATTCAACCGTATTCAATTGTGATGTTGTCTGGCAGACGCTGGTCAGGCTCTCGGCTCCACCTGGAAAGAAAGGGGAGTTATAGCGAGAGCGCCAAAGTGTTGGTTTGTGTAGATTGACAGCGGTTGAGATTATGTGCAAAGGATATGTTTAGCGTGTAAAAGTCATGATATAAGGTGCATTAATGGTACAAGTTACTCCTATAACAGTCAACATCATAACACTCACCTCCGCCTGCTCTCCCGTCTCCGGTCCCAAGGTCTATCATCGTAAAGGGTCCCCGGGGAAACAGCGGATCCTTTTTATTGTTCCGGATGGGGTTAAAGGAGCAGGTTGGCGGTGGGGGTGATTTGTTATCATGTACATTTGGCTTGTTAGTTTATAACGGGTTTTCTTTGCATACAGTAATTAAATATAATGTAAGTAAAGGATGTTGTCATTCTCCACTAAATGTTTATTGTGACTAACTACGGTCCTTATCTGAGCTGACCATCTCTGCACATGCCACCCCTTTTAGATGGTACGGTCCAATGGGTGGGGCTATAAAGGGTGGAATGTTGGGCTCATTTGGAAGAGAATAGTGTGGGAGACAGTCATTGGGGGATTTGATGTGGTCAACCATGTACCAAAGATGAATACATACCCACACCGGGTTGTATCAAGACGTTCTGCCTCTGTCTCCTTACTTGGTCGGGCCGCTCACTTGTCAGCCTTCACAAGTGGTGTCAGAAGTGGGATTTACCAAGTAAGGAGTTGGAAATGCCGAGGGAAAAAACCCGACCAAATGGAGGTGCCCGATGACGGGGTGGCTACGCATGGAGTTGACCAGGGGGCCACGGCTGGTGAACCAAGGGACAGGTTTGAGGAGCTGTCTGAGATGATGAAAGCACTCATGCAGTCTCAGAACCAGCAGGAGACGAACTGGCAAAGGCTTCAAGCCCAGCTATCTGAGATGAGAGCGGGG